CTTTCTGGTGAATGAAAAAAAGATCCATGGAAGGGCCCTTGATCGAAGAGTGTTCTCGCACGCTAGCAGGAAGGGTCCAGCAACAGTGCAGGGCCCTCCGAGCAAATGCAAAAAATTGGGGGCAAAGTGGAGGGCTCCCTAATGATCAGGGCGACTCTGCAAGTAGGCATGTAGGTCCCCCAGAAACAGCATAGGGCCCCTAGACAGTGTAATAAGGCTTCGAAATCCCAATTCACAACTTTTCAATCATTGAATTTTTTCCTTCTTCTCATAGGCCCCTCATTTTTGCTTGCAACAGTTCTTGGTCGCCTGGAAATCCAGAAATGTCTAAGATTGTTGCGTTTTGTGTAAAAAAAACTGAGCCTGTTCGACCTACTATGGGGCCCCTTTGGAGCCAATGAGCCCCTTCGGGCCCAAGGGGAGCATGGCCTTGTGCTCCTCCCCTTTTTGGTCCGCCTCTGGCGAAAACAGCGCCGCATTCTGGTCAAATGATACAAGAAGCAGTTTGCACAGACGATTGTAAATATAGCAAACAGTAAACCATTTTGCACAGAAGAAAAAACATCAACAAGTCACATTCATGCTTTTCATGTGTACCACGGAACGTCACACTGCTGTGAGAATGGGCTCCGGCATGAAGCATTCGGACAGAAGATGAAATGCATGCTTAGTGCATTTAATAAACGTACCATGATGATAAAAGGCAGACTATGCATATTGTGCGTTGGCCACGCGGCTGCCGATTGTAGTCATTACTATGACGCTGAATCGTGCATTTTACGTCATCATTCGTTCCATTTTGTGTTTACTGTGTCAGAGCACGCGCACACACACACACACACACACACACACCACACACACACACACACACACACACACACACACACACACACACACACACACACACACACACACACACACACACACACACACACACACACACACACACACACACACACACCACACACACACACACACACACACACACACACACACACACACACACACACACACACACACACACACACACACACACACACACACACATATATATATATAACTTTTTTCCTCTCTCTGTCTCTTCCCCCCCCTCTCTCTCTCTCTCTCTCTCTCTCTCTCTCTCTCTCTCTCTCTCTCTAAACAACAAAATCGATCTGTGTGATTCTACGCGGAAAAAGCTTGAAATACATGCCAAGGTAGTGTCTTGGGCAAATGTTACGGACATTGTGAATAAGGTCTTTTTCCTATGCGTTTGCGTCGTAAAACACGCTGCATCGTCCAAAGTGACGTTGAAATTGCACGCATTTTTGAAGATTATCAAGATCATGTATTTCTGCTTGAGCGCGTAGCGTGACTGGTCGTGTTCGAAAAATGATTGTGCTTCCAAAATTTTTAATTGATTTTACAACTTTTGAACACTTGGCGTTAAGCAAGGATAATCGGTGCATGCAATGATGCATCTAGTTTTTTTTCTTCTGAATTATTTCACCGGTGAAATGCGTTTTAAAAATCAACCAGTGCCGTTAAGGTGAAGGCGGCTTTCAAGCAATGAAGCATATTATCTATATTGGTGAACTTAGCGTTCATGTACAGCGATCACGTTATAAACGGGAACATACCACAGGATGTCTTTGCTCATCCGCTTATGATAGATCCTCAACGCATGTTGAGGAGGTCCGAAGCAACATGTGTGCAGTACGAGTTCAAAGTTATTATATTGAGTTAACACGCGCTCGGGTGGGGGAGGGGTCAATTTGTCCCCCTGCCCGAGCGCGTTGAAAAGGAAATCATCTGGTATTATTTTTTTGTTTTGTAGACCTTGTAAGGTAGGTTACATACTACAGGTCAAAGTCAGGCCATCTTTTCATCGAAGTCCATTTCTGGGGAATCGTTCAATATGATTCCACAACGGGGTGTAAGACGAAACAAAATCTCCGAGAAACCTTCTCAGGCAACACAAAAACCGAATGGGCAAATTTGATTGACCTAAGGTCAGGTGTAAAGGTCAGACCAAGGTCGAAAGCAGCCTGCTTTATTACTCTAGGACTTGCTGTATTGGGTGGCTTGTGGCGCTCATTTATTGATTACAGAATATGGATTATACATGTTCCTTGAGCTTCGTAGAAAGAGAATAGGGCACTGACCAAAAATGACCCAGGTCAACATATTGCTTTTAGGAGCGTACTGCCTAGCGTAATCTTTGTCGCTTATTCAAATGCAACACTCAAAACATTCAAGTACAATTTTGGCCACTGTGACCTTCGAAAGGTCAAACAATGTCACTAACTTCAAATGAGTATGTAAGTATGGGTAACTTCAATGAGTAAACCTTTTGCTTAAAACAGGTATCTAGACTCGGGAGCACTTTGGTGATCAACCCGAAGTTTGACCTTGTTTGACCTTATTTGACCCGAAGGTTATGACTTGGGAGGCTTAAACTTTGACCTAAGTGAGTTCACTTGGATGCCAAAACACCTTGTGAACTTGATGCCTCTAGATTCCTTAATTCCTGAGATTTCAAGGGGTCAAATTGCCCCCAACTCTACCCGAGAGAAGGGTATCAAATCAGCCACCAGAGCGCATGTTAACTGATTCCTAAGTTCTTAAAGGTCTGATTGGTGGCCCAAGATCAAGCTTCGAAGTCATAATGCCAAAAAAAGAAGTTGAGACCCTTTTCTGATATTATACATGTGCGTAGGCTCAAACTTTATTGCAGCACAAACGCATTCTCTCCGGTCTGCATGCTTTGCCCATCACCCCAAGAGGTGTGTCGATTAAGAGCTGCTACGGTGTGAGCTGGGTGAATGGCTTGATCAGGCTGCAAGAAGTGCTGCGTGCTCATTTGATATCGTATATTGTCATTACATCAATACCTCTTGGCTTATATATCTGTAAGGTGGTTCAAGTTGGACATCCGAGAAATGTCGGTTGAACAGTGTGGAAGCGTAGGATAACGCAAAAAGGAAGATGGTCTGAACAACTTAAAATGCTGAGTGATTGATTGGAGTGATTTAGGGTCGCATGAATCATAGCATAGTATAATGATGCTCAGTGACAACCAACACTGTTATCTACCTCATTTGGACACATCTGACGGAGACTGGGAAGCAACCGTCATCGCCTGATCGGTAATCCTTCACGGTACATATCTGCTAACAAGGTCTTTTCTTTTTATCTCACCCATCCGGAGGCAACAAACAATTTTTAGCAGGGAACTACCTAGTGGCACAGTTAGCGCGACTGCAGGCTCTATAGGCATGGCGGCCCGTATTTCCCGAATCATTTCTCGCTGACATGTGGGAATTGTCTCAAAGCTAAGCTTGACTTCCATGGATCTATTACTCTTAACGCTCGTTCTGTCGGTCAGCTTTCGGCCATGCTTTGTCCAAGCACCCCAGCTCGTCTTTTTGGTGAAAATTTCTAACCCACGCAGATATAGTGGATATTATGCATCATCACGTCGACGTATCTAATTCCAGGCTCAGAAGAAGTAATTTTCTTATCGCTATTTCACCCAGAGATTTCATTGTGGAGCTGGAATTGGAAATGCCTCCTTCACTGGTCCACAAAGGCGATAGCCTCAACGGTAATATGACGTCATAAATTCCACCGAATTTGCATGCAGTTTCCACGGAGCAAGTCCAGGGCACCGGCATTCAGATGTAAATGACTTCAGTCCAAGGATGGAGAAAGACTGAACTGCGCTTGACGTTGCCTCCTGATCACAGTCCTGATATCCCTGTGACAGTTAGTCCAATAGACTTCGTCTAACTGGAATTAGATTACGGAACGTTATTCTTTAAATCAGCCCTCCCTGCTGTAACTGGTGGTGACACTTTGCTGTTGCCAACACCCAAGTGTTGAATTTCTCCCGGAAGGGAAACATCCATACCCTGTGCCCTCCATTGTATGGCATCTTATCAGATGCATCATGGGTACAACCCACCAGGTCATGCCCCCATATTCCTCTAACCACAAAGAAGCCATGCAAATATAAAATCCCTGGGCCCCATTCAGTCGGCCTCATACCATTCGGGTTAGCATTAGCTTGGAGTATTTGTTAATTTACAATTTGTGGGTCATAATGGTGAATAAACCTTCTTCGCTGGTGAACGAGAAAACTGTCATCTATCTCATGCTTAAAATTGTGATGATGATTAGATGAATAAATGCTCCTGGAATTAACAATATCAGCAAAACACAAATAATGCGCTCAGGAAATTACTCGTCTTTCTCATTTAAGTAATAAGCCTGCGTGGAAAGTGCGCATGTCTACAAGTAGAGAAGTTGAGAAGTCCTGCCGGGGTGCCCAGTAGTTAACGTTCGGCTATTTTCTATGCATGATGTTGACCTGCACCCAATGAGCGGCATCCGCAGACCGTCGCACCCTGAGCTCGGAACAGATCAAACGCTGCCGCTAAACACAAGCCAAGCCGCAGGCCGGCTGCGCGGCAACGGCGATCTGTCCGCCGCTTTTATCGTCGACCTGTCGCCGATCGGCGAGTGGACAACGGCGTCGTTAGAGCGTTTATTCCGTGCTCGATGGGGGCTGTCTGCCGACGTCTGTTTGTTCCCGATCCGTCCGGGCACGCCGCGTCAGCGCCACCGACGATCAATGGGCGGCAGGCAGCCGTGCCTCGCTTCACCTCGTCACCGCGCGTCCGTCCAGCCAGATGACGAAGAACGCTGTGTGGTAGTGCTGAGTCGGCAGGGTCGAGAGACCCGTCGAAGGGGACGCAGGGCCACCGGTGCGGAGCAGCCTCTCCGAGCCTCCTGCTGACGGGCCGCCGCTGCCGCCGTCCTCTCCGAGCCTCCTGCTGACGGGCCGCCGCTGCCGCCGTCCTCTCCTCATCTTCTACCTCCTTTTCCTCTTCTTCCTTCTCCTCCCTCTCCTCCCTCTCCTCCTCTTCCTCCTTCTCCTTCTCCTTCTCCCCCCCTCCTCCTCCTCCTCCTCCTCCTTCTCCTCCTACTCCTCCTACTCCTCCTCCTCCTCCTGCGCTGGTCCGGCCGCCAGGTGTTGGAGGTCTGATGAGGATTGGTGCTCCTGATTGTAATGCACCACTATGATAGTATTTGTCGCGACATGCTTTCGCTGTGCTATGTATCTGTCACGATGTTCAGTTCCAATAATGAGCCTTAAATGGTGGTCAGCTTTTATGGTTCAAATGAAGCATGGATCAATGCAGAAATACCGCGTCATGATACACTGAGTGAAGCATGTGTTGATTGGACGATAACAGCACCCAGGCCAACAACTACCCTCATCGCAATGCGGCCATGCATTCGATTTTGTCGTTCTTTAATAGCTGGAGTATGCAGAACAGCTCGGCGCGGACGGAAGTTGCTCAACAAGATCCTGGTGGTGGCACGATCGAGCGCGTACTAGGTATGGCCGCTACCCGAACTTGCCAGGTATGGCCCCTACCGGAGTTTTGATCAGCTCGTCCGCCTGTCACTGGTCCCAAGTTCAGCACACGAGCGCTGTCACGGCTCGTGTCGTATTGCTACTTTGGTCGAGGTGCATGTTTGTGGCTGCACGTCCTTCAGCGAGGCGTCTGTAAGGGGAACAAGTGATAAATAGGCTAGGAGTCCCAGGCACACATTCAAAAATACATTATCTTTTGAGCTTGTGAAAGCCAACGCTCTTCTGCATGGGTGTGTGTGCAGCATAGTTTCTCCAAAATATGCACACAAGCATTTGGCGGAATCTTTGGGGATATAACCCGCCAAAAAACATCAAACTGAAAAAACCTTAGGCGGCACGCATTTGAAAGCTGAAGATCTCTTGCATGGGTGTGTGTATAGCATAGTTGCTTCAAAATACACGTACACATATCCTTCGGAATGCGCTGATGACATAACTGGCGGAGGAGCGTCAACCTGAAAAGTATGCCAGTTCGAAACAGCGCGCTATCTAGCTTTACCCACATGGGCGCTAGTCTGACCGCATACACACATCAGTCATGAGTCTGGTGTCTCACCGGACGTCAAGATAGGCGAACTCCCTCCTCTCGAAGCATTCGTCCCCAGACGAGTTCGTTCCAGCGAAACGACCGTCTGGATACTATCAGGCCACGATCGCGCAGCCCGTTCCGTCCATTTGGCATGGCTGTTCGAGACCGGGTCAGGACTCGGCTCGGCTCGAACTCGGCTCGGCGCCCGAGCCGAGTTCACGCCCATCCGCCGAACACGGCCAGGAGACCCCGGCCCCAAAGCGGATTACCTGGGGGAGCGAAACGGTAATCAAATCCGCTGCGCCGCGGCCACATCAGTGGGAGGGGGAGGAGGGGAAGGGAGGCCAGAGCCGACAGAGGTTGCGCCCGTTCAGGCAGACGCGGCGAGGGCGTCGAGCACGGGTTTTGAACGGATGACGTCCGCTGAGAAGAGATGTCCCGGTGTTCTCAGCGCTGTTGTCTCGACGTCATCGGTCAGCGGAGTAGTGTTGTAGTGCTGCGGAAGCACATGACGCACAGTAGATAAAATCTCTCATGCCGCACGGTCTTGGCTGGGATATTCCGTTAGCGCCACATTATGTATTACTATCATTTCGTGATGTTGCACAGCTTTAACATGCAATTTCAAATTGATTCCCAGCACTTCCAGCGCGAAGCCTTTCCTTCCGCGCCGAACTGCGATTTCCCATCGTCTCTTTTTCTAAAGTTATGGCGCACACACGCTGGCAAAATCAATCTGCCTCGATCCAATTCTGCGCAACAGTAATTCACAGGCAGCGGAGATCTCGCTGGCCTTCGAGGCGCACAGCGTCTGTCTTTGAAATATCATGTTCCAGCCACGGAGAACGGGGGTCAGCCCATCCCTCGCTATGCCTCGGGCGTCGTTCACCAGGATTTCTATTCTCGCGAACTCTCATTGAATCATACTCGAGGGAACCGGATTTCCGATCTACTTCGCTGCCATATTTTGCGATCGCTCGCGCTGCTGCCACATCCAGGCCCGGGTCCCACTGCAGCAACTCTGCATTATGCATGGCCTGATGGCAGTCATCGGACCGGATAGCACAGTCTATTACCCTCGGGTGCTCTAAATGCACACCCCCTGTACGTAATTAGCCGGTGGGGCGTTGACTAGCATAATTTTTTTTAGCTAACGCTGAAAATTATTTGTTTAGAGAATCGGGCAGCTCGTGTTAACGAACACTGGGTTTGCCCCATTCTGGCAGGAAGTGATGAAGCTTTCAGGAAGGGGAGGGGAGGATCTGCCAATTGGTAAGACCTTACAAAGGCTGGCTCCTGCTTATACCGCTGTAGATTAAAGGGAATGTTCCAACTTTATATGTGGTTTTGAACTGAAGTAGCCATCTTGAGGACCTTTTGATGTAGTTCACGGTAATGCCCTTTTAAGATCCAAAAACCTTTGGTTCCTGAGTTACACGCCCGCGAAAGTGGAAAAGTTCAAAGTCACCTTTGCATTGATGATGTCATAGAAACGCCATGCGATCGCCATGGCATTACAGATTGCTTTCTGCTTATGGTCAAAAACAGTATGGCCGCTGATACATTCGCAAAAGCGATGATACGGCACATACGATACTATCCACGGAAGGTGATTGGCTGTTACTAAGATTTCGCCGCTCAATGCGTGTCGTGAGCGTAAGCGTGAATACTTTCGGGTTGCGCGGCACTCGTCAATGAGGCAGTTTTTTCTTCTATCTAGGTCCTGGGCCAAAGTTATAAAAAAAATGAAAGCCATTGTCTGCAAAAAAGCACGGCGCCGAGAAAAGAATGGCGCTCTCCCGAATGTTGTAAAAAGAAGACACATCTGCAACTCTGTCTTTTTCTCATGCTGGCGTTTTTCCTACTCGCGTATTTCTTGCAAACATCTCGGTTGGCGTCGTGTGCACCGGAGCAAAGAATCTTGGACGGGTTTATGGGTTATCTAGGTATTATAAGATTAGGGAAACATTACAGTAATTCTAGATATATATACATACATACATATATATATATATATATATATATATATATATATATATATATATATTGCTAAATATTTCACATCCACACTGTACGACAAATTTAAATCTTGAACAAAAAAATGGTGTCCTTCAAGTACAACCTCTTGAGCTGCATTACCATGAACCCCCGTTGGAACTTTGTTTGGAAGGGAGCTCACGGTAAATTGCGGTGTTATGACCAGAAACCTGTGTGGAAATTGTGAGAAAACCTGCAATTTGATAGTTCCGCGAGCTGTGCAAGTGAGGAATCACACTTATTTTACAAAAGAATGTAAATCAGGAGCTTGAAATGGGCGTGATCACTAGCGGTGCGTGCCAGTGCCTTGTATTGATCTTGATATGATGGGGAGTGTGCGTGGAAGGTATGTACTTCTGAGAGAGAGCATTGTTTTGGTATTCTTTAAGTCTACTGACTCTCAACAAAATGTTATACATCGATACCTGTCTCTGTCTTTATGTTTGTGTTTGAACACGACGAGGTAGTGATGCTGGTAAAGTGAAAGAAGCGCTGGCAGCTATGTTGCGGGAGTGTACCAAGACAGTTTGCTGCTGCATTATGACCTTGCCAACATTCTGAACCTATTTAAGTATTGCAGCATGTAATTAATCCATCACACGGCATTACATTGAAAATTTATTTTGGCAGTAGGAACCGGTCTGTGCGGCTCATTAATTTGCATGCTTGGTATAAACTCACATGATACAGCTTTGCAAAATTGCTATTCCCTTAAAAATTCTGATTGCAACTTGTGTGAGATGCTGGGTGCTGAGAAAGGTGGACAAGTATTGCCATTGATTTCTTGCGAATCACTCATTAAGACTTTTATAATCTGCCTTGTGTGTACTGGCAGCTCCATCACTTCCTTCCATTCTGCTTATCTAACCATAAACACATGCACTTGTGTCTTCAGCCTTGTGCAAGGTTAGCAGGCTTGTGTCTTCAGCCTTGTGCAAGGTTAGCAGGCTTGTGTCTTCAGCCTTGTGCAAGGTTAGCAGGCTTGCAGTGCCATTTCACTGCATGATGTTTGCTTGCTATTTTTGAGTGGAGCAGCTTGATGGCTGCAGCATTCTGCATGGCTGTGGAAGCAAAATGCATGTTTGCATCTTTATCACCTATGTTTTGTGGATTCCCAAAACAGGCTGAGCAAATGGTGTCCTTTATTGGTTATGTGCTTTGCTGGAAGTGATTTATATATTATATCACGTGTTTTTGGTCAGTCATATGTCAGATGCAGAGTTAATACAAGAATGTTCGCTTGACCCATCTTTTCATGGTGGAGTTTATCGTGGAAGCAGCAGGGATTGCAATACAAAAGCCATATCATTGTTTATTATGCCAAGCCACAGTACAGCACTGAGGTAGTGCCACAATGGCGCTATTGACCCGTCCCATTACACAATATACCACATTGGTTGACTACTATATGTGAAGCCTATGAGATAACAGCTTATAATTTATGAATAACTGGTAACAAATCACAACAATGCCAAAGGAGTACCACCGGCCAGAATGCCTTTGCACAGCAATGGTTTTATCGAAGTTAACTAGTAATTGCGTACATAATCCTAAGCAAGAAAAACATTCTTGGTAGCTCAGCGTTGCCATCTTTACCATGGGAATGACAATGCTCCGGCAATCAATTCATAGCAATGTCGCAGATCTATTAATGTTTTCATGCAACTGCATTTTCAATTACAAATAGCAAAGTAACTAAAATGTACATGCCATGATATCAATGTCAGGATTGTAGCACTTCAGGTAGGGATAGGTCGCCGATGCAGTATCGAAATCCCAACAGTTCTTGACATGTGTCGGCGAGAGATTCATGACACTATTTGACAGTTTTCACAATATATCGTGATTTGATTTTAATAATCTGTCATAAACGCTGGCGATCGCTACGTTGCGTATGCCAAACAGTCCACCAAAGCTTTTCCTGCGACCAGTACCGAGACAAAATATTCACAAATAAACCATTCACTAACCCGCCACACGACACAGCGCCCGCGACGAGAATGGCCGGTTGACGTCAGCTTCCCTGAGTTTTGGGGTATTGTTTAGGTCCGGCTGCCAAGTGCTGCCAGGTATTGCTGTCGTCACGAAACGATTCCATGACGCCATCAAACGATGACGTAGCGGGACGTATTTATAAAATCTTTTAAGTTTTGCTAGTTAATGTCATTTTTGAACCCTGAAAGCTTACCAATAGTTACAAGTAGGCTTTCCTCATCATGCCTGATGATTATCTCAATATCTTCAAATGTGGAACGTTCCCTTTAAGGCCGCCTTTTCACAGAAGATAACTGTTCTGATAACTGCTCTCGAACGCTTCGAATAAGCATTGCTATATTGCTCGTTTCAGCGATCTGTTTCGCTTCCCTTTGCGTGCGCTGGTGGCAGCACGGATCCTGTTTGGACGATTAAGTCTTCGATTCAGTCCCTCCCAGCCTACCCATCTGGACACCCAAAGTACATTGGATGTGTACCCAGACGTCGAATCCTGTTGACGCCTCCTTGTCCCGCTACCTGAAGGGAACGCTGCACTGTCCAGCTAAGCTTGCAGCTGACATTAGTGTCGATTCTCGTTCCTGACAGCATGTGACCTAGATCGTTTCTGAGTAGTGGCTGCCTCACGCGGTTCCCGAACACCGAACACGTGTGACCATGCATGTGAACATCAATTCAACAGTACGCAAACGCATCCCTGTTGGCACCGAGCGTGGATGATAAATGTACTTGCTGAGTCTCCCAACATTTAGGACTTTTGCAGCAGTGCCAGGATCCACTAGCGGGTGTAGGTCAACGTCGGTACCGTGCGTTACAGAAGAGCATTGCACATAAATCGTCTCCTTTCAGGCAGCACATATTGTAAATGATCATAAGACAGGTGCATCTTTACTCTTTACCTTCAAACTTTAATAATGACGATTGCGAACGTCCGAGCGCTTCAGAGGCGTAACGCTCACCACCAGCCGGCGCCATTGCCACGTCGTATTCAAGTTACTGCGCATCACGGACCATAATAAATGTGCAGTGCCAACCTAACGACAGATAATGTCTCCAACCCACATTAATGCGCGATATTGCACCATAAGATAAGATGGAGCTGTGCAAAGTGAGCTATTTTAGTGACGTGATAAACTGGAATTTCAGACCAAGAGCCAGATTGACCTGCAATTCCTCTACGAAAGCGGCCTCATAAGAAAAGAAGTAAAAAGGACCATAACCTAACCTAACCTAACCTGACCAAACGTAACCTAACCTGGCCTAGCCAACTTAACCCAACCCACCTAACCCTAACCCTAACCCAACCCACCTAATCCAATCTAACCTAACCTGACCTGACCTTACGTAACCTAACCTGGCCTAGCCAACTTCCACCTAACCCTTACCTAACCTAACCTAATCTAACCCAGCCTAGTCACCCTGACCAACGTCATATTCCATTTCATATTCCTTTCTTTATTAAAACTTTTTATTCACCCGCCATCTATCATCTTACTTTTCATTCCCACACAATACCCCGCATTCCTACCACATTAAGACATAGTTATCCGCCATGTTGACCAATCGACAAAGAGCAGGCAGAAACTCCACCTTGAAAAGGCAAATTCTGGTTGATCCGCCGGGATGGCCTTGACGCGCCAGTAACGGTTAGATAGACTGACATTCAAACCACGTCCGGTGTTGTTATCGCAATTTTTATACTTGGAGAGGTTAAATGATAAGAATTCCACAGAATATTCTTTTTTATTATTTATGATATCCAATGATTTCAAAATGACAGTTGCTGAATAATTAAACATCGCAAGGTTAGGTACCAATGCCGACAATGACCCACTAGCGTGTCAATAGAGCCAAACGTCCGCCGCGTTGCTTCGCGCCTTCCCCGGCGGGCCTCGTTGGACGGCTACGCGTAGGTAGCCAGGGCCGCATCGCAGCGATGCCATGCGGTACATTATGTCTATCGTCGCCCTAGTCGCCAGAGCTAACCGTGTAGGACGAGCAATTACCGAATGCCAGTGAAACCAAAGCCCACAGGTACACGACGGTTAAAATGTTATGCTGCCATTTACCCGTCACTGGAGCTGCTCATTGACTTGTCCACTTAAGCCCAGCTTGAGTCTATCTGCACTTACAGCTTTACAAGGATCAGGAGTACGGTGTGTGGCGCACAAACTTACCGAACCATTAATCGGAAGTGATTTTCTGTGTCCAACAATGCGTTGTGTTTGTGTACGTGGCGAAAATTTGTCTCCCATGATCACCGTGAGCCCATAAGTTTCAGTGGCAAGCGAGCAAGCTTGTGCCGGCAGGTTCAAGCGCATTTAAAGGGAATGTTCCACATTTGAAGGTATTAAGTTAAGCATTAGATATGATGGGAAAACCTTACTTGAAATTATTGGCGAGATTGCAGGGTTTAGAAACAACTCTAAGTAGCAAAATTTGAAAGTTTTTTTAAAAAATGCACCCCATTGCGTCACCGTTTGATGGCGTCATGGAATAACTTTGCGACACGTTTTTCGTTCTCAGGATTAGTCATGCAATCACCAGTTAACCCTGATAAAACCGTTGTGATGCAATAACATTCTCACTGGGTCCTTTGGCAGTGTTAAATCAGTTGTTACGTCATTCATAAATTGCAAATTGCTATCCCATAAGCGCGACATGGAGAAGTCAACCGTTGTTATAGGGCTTTGAGTCAACCAATGTGGTGCATTGTGTAATGGCGCGGGTCAACAGTGTCATTGTGGCACTTCCTCAGTGCAGTACTGTGGCAGGGCATAATGAGCAATCATACAGTCTTTGTACTGCAATCCCTCGTGGTTTTCATAATAAATTTCATCATGAGAAAATGGGTTAAGCGTGCATTCTTGCGTTACTCCGCATCTGACATATGACTGACCATAAACATATGACACAAAACACAAACCACTATCAGCAAAGCAGACAACCAATAAGTAACATCACCTGCTCAGCCTGTTCTGGGAATCCACAAAACGTAGACGACAAAGACGCAAACGCATTTTCTGCTTCCACAGTCATGCAGCATGCTGCAGCCATCAGGCCGCTTCACTCGAAAGTATTGTTCACTCAAGTCATAACACATGTGTAACGAGAAAATATTACATGTAGTGAAGTGGCACTGCAAACCCGCTGACCCTGCGCCCGGCTGGAGACATGATAAGTGCATGTAGTTGCGGTTAGATGGGCAAAATGCAGGGAAGTGATGAAGACGCCAGTGCACACAAGGTTCATGATTAACAGATTTTTAGTGTACACGAGGCTCATGATAAAAATACTGTGACGTGTTTATCCGAGAAAATATCAGCAATACTTTTCCACCCTTCCCAGCACCCAGCATCTTAGACATGTTGCAGCGACTGTGACACTGATGACCTACAGGCAACGCTTGCCTGCATACAAAATTGACAGTAGTGTATGCATCCGTAATAAAACGGCACTACATTTTCAGAATCATTAAGGGAAAGACAATTTTGAAAGCCGTATCATTCGAGCTTATACCAAGCATGTGCATTAATAAGCCGCACGAATCTGCCCCTTCTGCAAAAATAAATTGCGAATATAATGGCATGTAATGAATTAATTGCATGCTGTTATACTTCGATAGGATCAAAATGTTGACAAGATCTTAATGAAGTAGTAACTCGCATTCGTACACCTCTGTAGCATAGGGAATGCTAGTGTTTGTTTCGGTTTGCTGGCATCGGTACTTTGTCATGGTCAGACACAAACAGAAAGATAGGGGCAGGTATCGATATATCACATTTTATTGGGAGCCATTAGACTTAAGGAAAACCAAACTTTTTTTCTCTCAGAAGTACAAGACTTGCACACACACTTCCCATCACATCAAGATCAATAAAAGCCACTGGCACGCACCACCAATGATCTCACCCATTTCAAGCGCCTGATTCACACTCTAATGCCAAATAAGTGTGATCCCACGCCTGCGCACATCGCGGGACTATCAAATTGCAGGTTTCCTCGCACTTTTTGCACAGGTTTTCTGTTATAACACCGCATTTCACCGTGAGTTTCCTCCAAAGCATGGTCTCAACGAGGGTTTATGGTAATGCAGCCCAAGAGGCTTCACTTGAATGACGTGTTTTTGTTCAAGATTCAAATTTGTCATACAAGATGTGTTAGATGTTTGGTACAATATACACATAAAATTGCTGAAATATTCCCCTAATTTCAAAACGTCTTGCTAACCCATAAACCCGTGCAAGGTTCTTTGCTCCGATGCACAACGTGCTAACCGAGCTGTCTGTAAGAAATACGTCAGCAGAAGAATAAAAAAATGCCAGCAGGAGGAAAAGGCAGATTTGCCGTCGCGTCTTCTTTTTTATAGCATTCGGGAGACTGCTTTTTTGCAGTGTCGATATTTTTCAATAACATTTGGCTATCACCTGGAAATAAGGAAAAATGTCCCGTTGACAACGAATGCCGCACAGCCTGAAAGTGTTCACGCTTCCGTTCGCGACACGCATTCAGCATCGAAATCTTACGAACAGCCAATGGCCTTCCGCGGATTGTATGATATATGCCGCATCATCGCTTTGGCGAATGTATCAGCGGCCATGCTGCTTTTGACCATAAGCAGAAAACAGTCTGTAATATAACGGCAATCCTGTGACGTTTCTATGACGACATCAAGCCAAGGTGACTTTGAAGTAGTCTCCCATTGAACTTTTTCACACTTTTGCGGACGTTTAACTCAAGAACCAGAGGGTTTTGGGTCTTAGAAAGGGCATGTCCGTGAACTGCATCAAAAGGTCCCCAAGACGGCTATTTCAGTTCAAAACCCCATGTAAAGGTGGAGCACTCCCCTTAATCTAAGGCCTATCGACAGTTTTGCTCCATCCCTCCCACCCGCGAGCTGTCCCAGCGGGCCGAGTCGGACGCCGGAGACGCATGGGGCGGGGGCTAGCGCCGCGAGAGGCGGGTGGTGGTCCTCCACCGCGTACGATCACTCTTTCCCCACAGGCTGAGGGGCCTGCTGTCGCCGGGCGACGGTCACGTGTGGGCGGGACATGCCTGGCGGGTGGTGGTCCTCCGCCGCGTTCCCCCACAGGCTGAGGGGCCTGCTGTCACCGGGCGGCGGTCACGTGTGGGCGGGACATGCCTGGCGGGTGGTGGTCCTCCGCCGCGTTCCCCCACAGGCTGAGGGGCATGCTGTCACCGGGCGGACGGTCACGTGTGGGCGGGACATGCCTGGCGGGTGGTGGTCCTCCGCCGCGTTCCCCCACAGGCTGAGGGGCCTGCTGTCACCGGGCGGCGGTCACGTGTGGGCGGGACATGCCTGGCGGGTGGTGGTCCTCCGCCGCGTTCCCCCACAGGCTGAGGGGCCTGCTGTCACCGGGCGGCGGTCACGTGTGGGCGGGACATGCCTGGCGGGCGGGCGCCGACGCAGCGCTAACGCTGCTCTCAGGTGCCCTGTGGGTTGTTGGTGGAACTTCAGTAGCCGCGGCCTTCCGCAAGCGCGGTGACGCAACGTAACCAGTGGGAGCGGGGGTTTTAGAGACCATGCCTCTTGGAGGTGGCGGGGGCACCCTGGAACACAGGGTTCCAGAGGTTTTTGTGGTTAGGGCGTCCGTGGGGCTTATCAAACACGAACACTGTGTACCCAAGGTACAAACATGGGTTTAATAGTTCCTCCAAATGAAAAACACACCTTAAACGGCGAAAGGGACCCGTTAGCTGGAATGACCACGTTAGATCTAATTTGGTTTCCCGAGCGTAAAACCGAACACGCCACTGCACAGGAGCACATAAAAGCGTCCATCTCTCCGACCCCCGCAATAGGCGTCCCAGCCCAGTCGACACAGATTGCGAAACACCCGACATTTGCTCATTGCAATTGTTAGTTACAATTGTTGGCATTACCACTGTTCAATTCACAGTAACATTCTCCGCTCCACCGACGCCAGTGCGAGCCAGCAGCTTCGCTTCAGGCTACCGGCGTCGACCCAGTGCGTGGGACCGGATCCATGGCGATGAACGCCGGATAGCGCAGGAGTCAGCTCCGTACCTAGAATATCACCCGGGTGCCGCCCTTCCCCCACGATCGCACCAGTCATGGTAGCGCCTGGTCCAGGTGGAGCCGACGTTGAAGCAACCGCGACAGCAAGGCAAGTGGCTAGGGGCCAATTTCGTCGTCACGGGTATCACAGGAGTATTTCTGCCGAATGTTGCGAGAGGTGCGACTGCAGACGGAAGAACTGTCCGCACTACGGTTTTCTTTTACGTGCCGTGCCGTTTGCTGGCTGTGATTAGATGTGCTGTGCTGTGTGGTACTCGAAAAATAGATACCTTTATTTACACAATAACAGCGTTAACGACTGCAGTAATCACAACAGCAGCCGCGTTGCACATTTCCGGTACTACATCAGCGATGCAAGTGACAATTTTGAACTCTATGACGAGCTCTGTAGTGCCTGAAACACAGTGCTTCTGCCCACTTAAGTCCACAGCACTCCTGAAACCTTCCTCGTAGAGCTATTCTTGCTACACTCCTCACGCCTTCTCTTGCACTCAAGAGCCCGAGAGCCCTCGGGATTCGGGACCCCCCCCCGCGCCTACAGACGCCGAGCTCTCTTCTGCAGACTCCTTCGCCGAACGACCGAGATTGTATTCGTTCTGCGGCACCAGCCTACGCACTGGCATTCTCCCGCAATGATTCCTCTCATGTTAGAGTCCTCAGTTGGATCTCGAGCGCCAGTAGGATTTCAGAGATGCACGGAGGAAAGATCAAACTGGTCGGCGCCGCCCGAGGGTCGCATGGGGATTGTCGTTTCCGCCAGACGCCATTTCTATATCGGTCCATCGCTTTTCTCCTTTTCTGCGGCACTCGCTACATCGTGAGGCTTGTGGAAATCTTCCTTTCTGAACGCCGGCCGCCATCCTGACGCACTGTCGATCCCGCTGTGCGACGTCGCATGAAAACCCCCCCTCTCAGTCGACCCGTGTTCGGCGCTCACAGAGACGGCAGCTTCCAACAGTCCTGCCCTCGGCGACCTCGGAACAGTCCTTCCCACGACCACGTGACATTGTGGCTTCCGCAAAATGCAGTAGGCGGCACCGGCTCAGTCATAACCATGCCGCCGACTCGCCAGTATTGAAACGAGAAGCGTCAAGAACACGATGGGAGGGGCCGGGAAAAGCCGTCTCGCGTCCGCCGGGTGGGCCTGTGGTTTAAAACTCCACCACTGCGCAGCATTGTCACGTTCTCCTCCACGTCACACCGCGGAGCACCGCCAGTCAAACATCACATGACCATGTATTGGCTGCTAGAAAGCCTTGATGGGAGGTGGAACGCCGCGATACCGAGCAGAACCGACAACAAACACCTGTAACGACCGAAGTACAGCTTCAAACAAAGAACTGCTGTCAACGGAAGAGGACGGTAAGCCGCCACCGAGCCCCCAGGCGATCGCGCCGGCCCGTCGCTGATTTGTCTCCAGCGCCTCACCTTTTGTACTAATCTCACACGGCGACGGGCCGGCCGCCACAGGCCCGGCCGGTTATCACGAGGTGCGCACACGCATCTCCTTGGTCAGCGGCGGCACACGGGGCCGTGGGTCGACGCGCCGCCGGCCACTCGAAAACACGCAACGTCGCAAGAAATGGGGGGGGGGGGAGGAGGGGCGCGCCGCCGCGTGCCGACACGGCCGGCGCGCGACGCGGGCCGTAGTGGGCCCCAGCCGCGCGCCGCCGCCGGTTGCACCTACAAGCCGCGCGCGAGCGCGCCACACCGAAGGCGCGGCGAGCGGAAAAGCGCGCGCCCGCGCCGCGGGGCGCATGTAAAACACAGGAAAACCATTGCTTCAGCGTGGATTGACGCGGTGCGGCGCAGCGGCTGCCGCGGCATCGCCGCTCCTGGACCCGGCGCGGGCGCGCGGCTCGCGGTAATATCTCCCTCGGCAAGAGCGCAGTAATATCGGGGACAGGTGTGCGCTTGGGCGTCGGCGGGACGGGATTGTCGGGGCGCCGCCGGCCGCGACCGGAGCGCCTATCACAGTCGGGCCGGGGCGTGACGTCACTCGGTGACCTCGTTCTTGCTGACACAACACGGCAAGACGCCCGACACGTACGGCCGAAGCGACGAGAGCCGGCTGTTGGCAACGCTCGACGGCGTGGCGGCGCACTGTAGCCTGTCCTGTTCGCCGTCAGATGTCAGCACCTCCTGATCCAGCCGCTCGTTGTCGAACACGTCGATGCTCTGCACGTTGGTGGCGTTGCGGCGGCTGCAGATGTCGGCCATGCGCTGCCAGTGGCGCCGGTTCGTCTTCGTCTGGGCGTACACCTCGTCAGAGCAAGGGAACAGCGAGCTCAGCAGGCTGGGAACGTGACGAGCGCAGCGTCAACGATCTGCTCACCACCCTGATCTGCTCACACCTGCGTCGCAGCCGGCTCCCAGCGTCCGTCATCCCCCTCGAAAACACTGCCCCTTTAAACGGCACCGCCCAGACTTGCGGGCCGAATGATCCAACGTCACCAAGTCAACAACGCAACTCTTCCGTCAACAAAGAGCACGCATGGCAAAGCCAGCACGGTCCCGAGCACGGCGCGTCTCGTCAGCACGTGCTACAACAAAGAGCAGGCCCGCACCTCGCCACCGCACACGTCCGAGCGCTGGCTCTCACCTGTAAACAGGCAGCGCAATGTCGTCCAGGAACTGGATCTGCAGCTTCGGGATGAACGCGCGCTCGCGGTCCATCATCTCCGACGGGTCGTTGCCCATCTGCTTCTCCATGTCGCCTTGCGAGAAGAACTCGCGGTACACCAGTTTCTGCCGGACGGAGGTGGACGGTGAGCGTCACCTCACCTCGACCTCTTTCAACGCTGTTGTCCAAGTCCAGGGGGCACAGCATGTAGAAGGAGCAGTTCGTGATGCCGGATGCATGGCACCAGACAGCCACTCAGCACGCCACTACAGAGCCGGACGGCGGCAGCGGCCGACTCAGTCTCCAGCCCACCGTCGCTGGCGGGGGCGCTGCTCAACAGCCCCGGGCCATCCCGCCGACATGCAATCATCACATGCAGCTGATCCCTGAGCACAAGCGAGTGGGTTCCGACGCCCTTGCAAAACCCATATGGACAGGACTTAACAATGCAATGGAATGTGGTGCTTCCATGCGTTCAACAGGGAAGTGTGAAGGACTGTGTGGCTTCCACACACAAGACACTCACGGCTGGGGCATTGGCTGGCTTTGCGTATGGAAGGCCACGGAGTGAATAAACTGAGAATAGCGTTCTTTTTTGGTGACTGGTAAAAGTCAAGGAAAAACGTTAATGCTTTCGCTGCATGCCAGCCACAGTAAACTAGGCTAAGTATCTGTGTAGTTTTCCGGCAGACAGTGGGCGCTCACTGGGCGAGGGTGCGTGGGCGCGTGGGGGAGCCTGCTGACTGCTCTGCCCCAGACCTCGGTCGGACGGAGCCGCCTTCCGCCGCGTTCCGCCCGGTCAGTCCCCCCGCTGCGCGCCGAGCAGGGGCCTCACCGCCGCCTAGGGTTTCCCGGCACGTAAAGCCACCCAAGTCGCCTCGTGCACGCCCACACTTGGGCGGCTTCTCTTGGGCGTAACAGCGGTGACGTTGCGCCGCGTCCACGGTCGCGGCATGACGCCCACGTCACGAAGGGCCGGCCCTGGTCCGCCGGAGCGCGGCATCGTCACGAACCCTCGCCAGCCCCCTCCCCCTCCCCTCCCAGACAGTCCCGTTGGAGACAGAGACTGAAGGAGAGTGCGCAGACTGACGGAGAAGTCGCCACATTAGGCTGTGGAGCCCGCTCCCGCAAGTCGCGATGATCCAATGCCAGTTCAGTGAGAAGAGACTTGTGAATAGTTTTAATTTCTCCCTTACGTGCCTCACATAAGCAATGCAGAAGTGGAAACGGTTTGAAAACAGCTACAAAACCCAGGATTTTTTTCACACGGACTTAAGTGTCCTTATAATGAACGACATAACAAGGCTTACAAAATTGTGACCAAAGGAACGCTTTGTATGTAAAATCCTTGGTTACTGTTAGCAACGCATCCTGGTCATCACCCTACAGTATACCTGAAAAAGTTCGTCTAGGGAAGTAGCAGCAGTATCTCATACCTTAAAATGCCTACAATTCTGCAATTTTCAGCACTCCATCACCACGTGTCCGACACTATGTTGATGAGTTTAAGATACGCTATTGAACCCGGAGGTTTCTTGGCATATCACAGATCCATAGTATCATCCGCTGCTAACAATGATAAAAATGATAACGTGTGATGAGCGGCGTCTGCATCCCGGCCGCCTGGTAGAGTTTGAGCCATCGCGTTATATACATAGCATTCATCTAAAGAAAATAAAACAACACCGCAGGCTTTCTGGCGATCAGCATCAACGGAGCAGCGAGGGTAAGTGCAGCTGCTGAGCAGCAAGAGCCGCGAGTCTCCTAACGATACACCGGACTGGCGTCCCTTTGATCACTCCGTTGGATCTTTCGCGAGGCGATGCGCGCGTGCTCCGGCGGGCGCCAGGCGCTCGCGACGCGTCCATGCTGGGCTGCACCGCGCTCCCGGCTTCAGTGCGTATCCCTGAGTTCAAATATATTTGACACTTGCATCACTGAGCAGAGCGAACCTATTTCAAGGGCTGACTACTCCATAATTCCAGACAGTTAAAGTAGCTTTTAGCAATCTCAACACTGTCTGACTAGTTAACATGAATCGAAAGCTTCGCGAAGTTCAAAACTGCCTGACCAGTTAATATAAACTGAGAGCTTCACGTAGTTCAAAACGTGGCCATTTAACCTGATTCCGCGCGTTTTGCCACGTGATAAGGTAGCACGTAAGGTAGGTCTCTTGTTTTCCCTAGAAACAGTTTCGTTCTGTTCCAGTTTTGTCCTGGAGAGCGCTGAGTGATCCTCAATAGCAGAGGTCAGTTTCTAGTTAAAATATCAATAATTTGAAGATGTTTACAGGGGGAGTCAATGTTCCGGATGGATCTGCGATCCAGTCAGTGCTGCTGTAATGTAGTTCGATTTTCGTACAACTGCCATGGTCTAGTAAGTAATATACACCTGTAACAAACGTCACTGCTGAGCTGATTTAGAAGCATCATACTGAAGCAGATAGCCGTGCAACGTGAAGAGGCGTAAGGTTTTGACAAAGCCGTTCTAAAGCTTTTCAAATAATTTGATTGATGCATGGCAATGATACCAGCAAGGAAGGCATGAAGCTACAGGATTTATGGAGCAGCCTGTTGAGAGTTATCATTTTTACAGCAGACCTTTACTTTACTAGTGTCCAGAAGACACTGAATGAATAAAGTAAACATTGAGATGATCATGATTTGGGCTTTAGGGCGCGCCGACTACAATGATCATACGGGGTCCATTAAAGCAATATGAGAGAGATCACTGATTTCACCTACCAGAGCCCCAATCAGGTGGCCGAGAACCCTTCATCAATCGGCATTTGTTCGTGACGTTTCTGCCGCCGTCCACCGCCTCGCTAGTACCGTCGTCCCCAGTATCTCCCCAGCGTCCGTCCCCGGTATCTCCCCAGCGTCCGTCCCCAGTATCTTCCCCAGGGCCCGTCTCCAGTATCTTCCCAGGGTCCGTCCCCAGTGCCTCCCCAGGGTCCGTCCCCAGTATCTCCCCAGCGTCCGTTCCCCAGTATGTCCCCAGCGTCCGTCCCCAGTATCTCCCCAGCGTCCGTCCCCAGTATCTCCCCAGGGTCCGTCCCCAGTATCTCCCCAGCGCCCGTCTCCAGTATCTCCCCAGGGTCCGTGACCCAGTATCTCCCCAGGGTCCGTCCCCAGCATCTCCCCAGGGTCCCGTCCCCAGTATCTCCCCAGGGTCCGTCCCCAGCATCCCCCAGGGTCCGTCCCCAGTATCTCCCCAGGGTCCGTCCCCAGTATCTCCCCAGGGTCCGTCCCCAGTATCTCCCCAGCGCCGCGGCGCCGCTCCGCCACGTACCGCCGCCTTTTTACTGCTGAGCCAGCGCTTGGTATGGTCGGAGAGGTCGGCGGACGTCATGAGTAGCGAGCGCAGCAGGCGGCGGTGGCGCGGTTTCCGACGGACAGTACCCAGTCGCCGCCATCGCCTCCAGCTCCGGCATGATGCGCAGGTGCTGGCTCAGGTCCGTCGCTGTCGGCCGGGCAGCCGGGCGCGGTCAGCGGCAGCAGGAGCAGGCGAGCGACAGAGCGGGAAGCGGTGGCCAAGGGTGGGGAGCGGGTAACGAGGAGACGGTGGAGCGGCTAAAGCGGTCAGGGGTGGGGAGCGGGTAACAGGAGACAGCGGAGCGGATGGACCGGTCAGGAGTGGGGACCGGGTAACAGGAAGATAGTGGAACGGATGGACCGGTCAAGGGTGGGGAGCGGGTAACAGGAGACGGTGGAGCGGATGGACCGGTCAGGGGTGGGGAGCGGGGGTAACAGGTGCACAAATAAACATTAGAGAGGTGTAGCGGCAGGGAGAAGGCACGAATCGGGACATGGAGAGGGTGGGCAATAGGTGGAGTAAAAACGCACGGACACGGTCAATGACTCAGCGATGCGTGTAGGTGGTCGAGCCACACCGCCAACGTTATCACGTCAGTTCGTAGCCCCCATTGCAGAAGCGCGCATTTGGACACAAAACAACAAACGAGCACAGGGCACGAACGAGGCAAGATGAAGGCGAGACAGAGACAAAGTACGCAATAAACGAGATGGTGAAAACAAAACAAGTGGCTATTCGGAGTCACCGCCAGCTCATCGCTCCACATACTACGAGGGGGGAAAGGACCAGGTCGGCCAGTCAGCACTAGCAATAATCACACACCACCAAATATGTCGAACTCCACGACGGAACAGCATTACGACAAGAAATGACAAGAAACGACAGAAGTAGACACACCGCGGATGTCACATACGAGCCAGGGATAGCATATCCAGCGCGCCGAACAGGAATAACCGCATTCATAATGCGGCCCACTTTGTTTTGAGATGTGGGTGCTGACACCGAACACGGCCTGGCACCACTTGGCATCAGGTCAGAGACTCGACTCGAAAGTTCGGAGAGAGGTCGCTCGAAACACCAGCTGCACTCCTGCACGACACACGGCACACCCGTGCGGTTCAGCAGCGACTTCGGTACCACCCGACCAACATCGGACGGCGTGCAGCTGACATCGATCCACAGGGCTCTCCATACACTGTCGGTACCGCTCGGTGTCCGGGGGAAGGCGACGGCCGGGGCGGGGCCGAGCCGGAGAGCCACGACGATTCCCCCCGGCGGCCGGCGTCAGGCAGCGCTGCCGGGGTCGGCGGCACGGCGTCCGGTCCGGCCGAGTCCCGTGCCGCCGGCGCACAGCGCCCGCATCCGAACTCCCGCCCCGGCCGCGCCCGGTCCCCCACAGACGCCCATCTGCGTCCGCGACGCTCCGCGGAGGGGGCACGGGACGCACGACAGACGCCGGCACCACTTGCCGTTCTCACCCACCGCCACGTCCCGCACGCATGACACGCACAGTCATCGGCATGCAGCACACAGCGCCAGCGGAGAGCCTCGCCGAGATCGCCGCCTCTCCCTGGCACCAGTCTCGGCGCCGGACTCGCGGCGCGGGCCTCACCGAGTATCATGTCCTGCACCATGTCCAGGCAGTGGGTGTAGTCCTTGCGCGGCAGCTGGCTCAGGATGTTGCAGCCCTCCGTGTTCAGGATGCACATGGAATGCGCGAAGTGGTGGCGCCTGCAACGGCCAGCGGCGTCCCGTCAGCGCGATCCGAGGCGCGGGGCCCAGACGGGGGGTCGCGCGGCCAGTACGGCTGACCGCGAACGCCGCCGCAGCCATCTGCTCGCCGACCACCCGGTGAGAGTTACCAAGGCGATGCGAGACCAGCGCGCTGTTTGCGCCGGCTCGGAGCGTGACAATCGGCGGGAGAAGCCGCGACGCTAATGGTTGCCGGAGGCCTCCTCGCGCCGCTGGCGCCCGCAAAGGCCAGCCAAGCCGACGCATCAATAAGCGAAGATAACGACGCGCGCTGCGCCGACATCGACCTGGAAGATTATCACGGGTCGCGACACTCGGGGCACGGTGTCACGGATCAATACCGCGACGATGCATTAGACGGGAGACCGGCGCCGTGGAGGAGAGCACCGTCGGCACAGTTGCCAAGGCCCCGGATTAGTCTCCAGCGCTTGAGCACACCCAAGGCGCAACCCCGCCCAGCCAAACACCCCGGAGGGCGCGGTCACATGAGCAACGCGTCCCCTACGCCACCAGCCCGTCCCGACGCTCCGCGCACCGGTCGTCATCTGGCCAACGGCGGGGCGGGCGTGAAAGAGTCCGAAGAGAGGATGAGAACAAGCGCACGCGCCACCTCAACCCGCCATCTCTGATCCTCGCCAAGCTCTGCCAGAAGAGCCAGCGCTGCCACCGACAGGCCAAGAGCACCGGAGCTGGCCGAGACGCTGGGACACCGGACCTCGCACCGGACCAGGCGAAATGGCGGCGCTAGGTGGCACTGCCGCACGAGCGCGCTCGTCCCACATTCGCTCGCCACGTGTCCCCCCGCGGCGCAACCGACAACGGGCCGGGCATGGCGCGCACATGTAGCCAGACCGAACCGGCCGCGCTGCACCGAGCGCCGCCGGCCACAGCGGCCGCGCGGGCCTCCACCTCCATCACACTGCCCTCGGACGAGTACAGCGAGGCCAGTACGGAGAGCGCGACGCCACCTGGAAGCTATTGGTGGTGCCCCGGTGGTCCAGGTCGTGGCAGAGGCACGCTGTGAGCAGCGACAGTGCCTCCAGCTCACTGGAAAGGAGGCAAGCAGTCAGCCACACCGCAATACGGGACGGGGAGGACTGCTGCCCGGCTCACTGAGACGGGAGGCGAGCAGTCAGTCACAACGCAGTACGGGACGGGGAGGGCTGCTGCCCGGCTCACTGGAAACGGGAGGCGAGCAGTCAGTCACAACGCAGTACGGGACGGGGAGGACTGCTGCCGGTTCACTGGAAACGGGAGGCGAGCGGTCAGTTACACCGCAGTACGGGACGGGGAGGACTGCTGCCCGGCTCATGGAAACGGGAGGCGAGCGGTCAGTTGCACCGCAGTAGGGACGGGGAGGACTGTTGCCCGGCTCACTGGAAACGGGAGGCGAGCGGTCAGTCACACCGCAGTACGGGACGGGGAGGACTGCTGCCCGGCTCACTGGAAACGGGAGGCGAGCGGTCAGTTGCACCGCAGTATGGGACGGGGAGGACTGCTGCCCGGCTCACTGGAAACGGGAGGCGAGCGGTCAGTTGCCGCAGTACGGGACGGGGAGGACTGCTGCCCAGCTCGCTGCAAATATGCAGGGGAGCAGGAGAGGGGGAGGGGAGCATGCATCACACCACAGGCGAGACGACGATGAAGTGCACCAGCTCACTGGAAACAGGAGATGAGTCCGTCACGCACAGAACCAGAGGAAAGGACTGGCGTGTGTCTCCCGCTTATTGGATACAAAGGGACGTCAGTCACGCGATACCCAGGAGAGGCGGCACGCGTCTCCAGCTTATTGTAGCCAGAGAAGCGAGGCGCCCATGTGCCTGTCCCGCAGAGACGAGCAACTCAGGCCACACGTCTGTGGGCGCTGCAGGGCGCCGCGTCACCGCGACATATAAACGGGGCTGGTCATCTCGGGAAGCGCCAGCGGGCGGGGGTGGGGCCGAGGAGAGCGACGCCAGCGGGCAGGTGACATACATCACGGTGGGTGGCAGTGGTCACAAGGTCGATGGTGATGACGGTTTGACTTCATGCGCGCTGACTGCCGGTCACACGTCATGACGTCAGCGGGCGGGCTGAACCGTGCCGAACATTGCGGCACGCTAAACTTTTATCTCAAATGCTGCAGGTGGTCTGGAATTCCGTGATCGGACGGCAGGTCAGGGTTTACACAGGAATCGCGGCATAACGTGGGCGGCTGAGATCCCAGAATCCATCTCTTCGAAACGTCGATTTTTAACGCAATGGATGAGCATGACGGAAAAGCTAATTCATGCATGTTACGTCGACCGGAACTCGTTCGGGACTCATCATTAGTCGTGCGTTCACTTCTTTTATCCAGTGATTGAAAGACGCGACGAAGCGATGGGACATCGAGAAGAAAGACCGGCAAAATGGAGCGTGCACCGTCAGTTCCTTCCTCCAAAGGCGAGGCAAACAAGGTGAGGAAGAAACGTCCCCCGACCGACCGCACCCCGCACCAAACCGGCCGCCGTTCCGCGCCCCCACACCCCAGCGCCCCGCCGGACGATCGGCGCATCGGCAGGCTGCGAGGCGCGGAGCGCGAGAAGTGGTAATGACAGGGCCGTCATAACACACGGCTAGTGCGG